TAGTTCAGGTAAACAACTCACCTCGATATCAAGTAGTTCAGGTAATCAACCAACCTCGATATCTAGCAACTCAGGTAAACAGTCCACCTCGACATCTAACACTTCAGATACAAAATCAACCTCGATATCTAGAAGTTCATGTAAACAACCAACCTTGCCATCTAACACTTCAGATAAACAACTCACCTCGACATCTTGTACGTCAGGTAAACAAGCAACCTCGATATCTAGTAGTTCAGGTAAATACCAACTTCGACATCTAGTTCTTCAGGTAAACAACCCACCTCGACATCTAGTACTTCAGATAAACAATCAATTTCGATATCTGGTACTTATGGTAAACAACCTATCTCGATATCTTGTAGTTTATGTAAGCAACTCACCTCGACATCTAGTACTTCAGATAAACAAGNGGTCTAGGATTGGTATTGCGGACTCTGTTTCCTACTTTAGCAATAAAGACCCTGGACAAGCAGAGTCTCGTTTGCCTTATCTATCTCATTGGATCGGTTTTCTGTATTACGACGTTTTTTAATTCATGCAATATTCAATGAGGAATTGGTTACCGCTTATTCTTGATGTTTTGTAATCACATTTTTCATGCTTTTCTTCTTTTAAATTAAACATAGCTACTAACTATACGATCACTACAATATACGAAATTAATTACTGATACGCAGAGTCCTATCTCGAGATACCATAGCTGTCTGACTTCCGGAAGATCTGATTGGAAAGATTTCTGGTCTTACATTTTCATATCCCTTCATTCAATATACCTCAATACTTGCTAATTACTTTCGGCTCTATAAAATGACAAAAGGATTAAAATGAAACAAAAAACAAAGATAATAAACAAAATTGTTATTGAAAAAAGTTTATAAATGATTCATTATGAACGCCGGAAAGTCTTGTTTATCTTGTGAGTAAAAGACTTGTATGTCAACATTAGAATTCTTTCAAAGAAACTTATTATTAAATGTCTTAAATAATTATATGTTATAAACTGGAATTAAACCATTTTAATTACCTTATTAAACGCTGTTTTGTTCTGGGGTTTATCAGTTTCTTTGCCGTGACGGGATATGAAATGACAGGATATGAAATTCGCGCAGAGTAAGGCTCTTAATGACATGCTGTTAATTATGTCACGGCAATATCAAAATGACTCTAACAGTGACATACACTACAACTCATCAGTATCCCACAACTGGTTTTGCTTTAATTAAGTGTTCATTAAAAACATAACCTCAATATATATAAGAATATTTATTTATTATAACTTATTTAAATACCAAGCGACCGAACTTTATTCTTGTTCAGAATCTATAATAATTTTGAAATTTGGTTTTCATATGCATACTGTTGACGTTCCCGTTGATCAATCCAAAGAAAGTTATAATCAACAATGTTAAGTTCAAATATAATGTGATGACCTAAAGGAATTTAAGAGGTTTTCATTGATATTAAAGCCTTGAAACAAGCTCGTTTTTTATATCGATTAAAGTCAACAATTCATATTAAATCACATTAAGTTGCATTGGCATATGTCTAGAAACGTGTCTTTTATTCTAATCTGAAATCGCATTAAAAGTCAGCCGGTTCATGACAAATCGAAGATTCCTTTCCTCGTGAAAATAGAAAATCCGCCACGTTTCTGTAGATTCTCTTATATTTGTGTTGGTTGTGTAGACGTTTACAAATATTACACAAGATTGACTGCAACACTCCATCAGTTGTTTCAGCGGAGAAGTATTTCTTCCAGAGAAAGTATTTCTTGTACTCGTCAAAATTATTGCTCATGGATTTAATGCGTGTTGCTAGCAACTTGACGTCACGAAAGTCCTTGGTATCCAGGTAAGATTTCGGGGGACTGAACAAGGTACGATTGGACGCATCTCTAATAATTGGAACAATGTTGTGACGTAATACAAGATGAAGTGACTTTTCTGTGACGTAGTCATCACACAAACTATTCTCAAAAGATAAATAGAACTTGTACCTACTGTCAAGCACATCGAAGCAGTCTCTTTTCAGTCCCGCAACCGGCTTCAAATTCCATGCCATATTGAATACGTTACCTCCTGAATCAAAATGAAGAGTTCCACCACTTTCCGTATATGTCAACGTCAATACCGTATTTACGGAGTTTGGTTATATAATCATTCCTGCGAGATTGAATGGGACAATGACTGATGAAGCCTACGGCTGTCTTTGTCTTGCCTTTAAGTATGATATCTATTGCACTTTCATTGTAGAGGGAGGAGACCTTTGAAAATCGGCAGTGCACAAACGTGAAATCCGAGTCACGGCGATACGTAATCGTCCAATTAAACAAATTACGATGGCAAGGTTTATTCAAATCACGATAACGGCCAAATCTTGTGGGAGGTTCGTGTTCGAATATGGTCCACACCTGCCCGCGTTTCATTTTCTTCATACATCCTCTAAAACATCCTTCCTTATTGGTTGCTCTAAATATAACTGCGTCGGCCTTATCCATGAACTGACGTTGCTTTGTTAATACACAGTTAGATACTTGACAATTCCTGAACGGATGCGATGTATCCCAATTATTTCCTATCCAGTTATTAAACCAGTGTTGTGGTGATAAAAACAGCAATGTTTTATCTAAATCACCATTTCTTTCTCCTTTTCTTTTCTTAGAAAAGGACAAATTACGTAGAGAGCGGTGTTGATTTTCGACATCGCGTGTTTTTGGTATTTGGTACCAAAGAGGACCGACTGCTCTATCGTATAACTACTTGTAGAGTTCAACAAATATTATATAAAGGAGAACTGTCAGAGTCAGAATCATTAGAAACAGCTTCATTCTATTGTGGATGTCCATAATTTCTGAAATATTTTAAAGTGGAATATTATAGTGTAGTGATTTAACAGTTTGGTGAAAGTAAAACGGAGAATTTCGGATGGACACATTCATAAGTAAGTTTTCATGGTTATTATCAATCATATTCACTGCTTACGTTACAACAAATGATTAGGGATGTGAATATCGATAAATAGACGGGGAGGGTTAGAGGGTGAACATTATTATGAGTTGTATGACATCTCATACGACCGCCAAAAAGAAATGTTTTACACTGTTATTCCTATTTCTTGTTGGTGAATTACGTGTAACAATGCCATATTATCTCTTTCATTTGTGATGAAAATGTTACATTAATTATATATTTACGTTAACAAGATTCTAGAAGTGGTACAGAAGTTACAAAATCAAAGGTACTCCAATGTGTGTATTATTTAGTGAGTTAAGAAGCATGTTGCAAGGTGCTAAAACTTTCAGCCTTTTTTATAGTGCGCTCATTATTTCAAATGTTGTTTAGAACTTCAGGAATAGAGGTTGCAATGCTCTTCCACCGTGAATAAACATTTCATTATTAAGAAAATATGACTAAATGGAATGTAAACTACATTGTACACACTGATATAACGTGTTGAGACGCAACCAATTAACAGAACATTTGACCCTTAAAAACTGCCAGAAATGACAAAGACGCACAGAAACAAAGGGGTAAAGAACTAGATACTTACGTGAGTTTTACAGACCGTTCAATCCCGTTACAGCTACACAAACACTCCAACAAAAAGACGACCTTTTTAATGATAAAGCTACCAATAATGTGCAATGGAGCATTGAATACTCTCTGGCGTGGTGATTTTGTCAGTAATAGTTTGTTTTTAAATTATTTTAGTTATCAGTTTTAAATGAAT